AAACTGTACTGGAAACTTCTGGCCAGGAAGTAGCTTTCCTGGTCCTCCAGGATTAGGAGAGCTTCTCTTCTGGTATGGCTACGGGGATGGGTCAGAAAGCTGCTGTCTTGGAACAGTTTCCTGCCAGAGAACAAGGTCTGTGCAAGGCTGGAAGGAAGAGCCAGGAAGACCCAAATGAAGTATGGCTACTCAGGAGGGTTAGGGAAAGAACAGCAATGCTAACTTTGAGTGAGACAGCAGTTCCTGGTGGTCCAGACTGCTTTTGCCTTCATCCTCAACCTTCAGAGACCTTTGTTAATCCAGAATCATGCAATAGCAGTCGATGGCAAGGAAGGACTTTTTCTTATTCTGGCCCCATCCCCTCCACACCATGTACACATGCCGGTGCACAGAAAACAGGGCACACTGATGACAAGATGCACTTCAGAGGTGCAGATGGCTGCCGCTTTGCTGGACAGCATGGAGTGTCAGGGAGCCCCCTGGCTTCAGGACATCTCAAGGAGCAAGGAGCAGGAACAAGGCAGGAGTGGAAATCGTAGACCATGATGGTCTAGGGATGCTTTTAAAATGGGTGGGGGGCCCTAAATGGGAGGAAGGCCAGGCTCCTCCTGCAGTGTTCCTCCTGGCCCCCGATGCGTGGGAAAGCTGGAACTTGACTTCCTCAGGCAGAGCAGAGTCAGGAGCAGACACCTTGGGGCCTGCCTGCCTGTGTTTGTTTTGGCTGAGGGCTTCACGGGGCTTTTTGAAGCTGGTTTCGTCAGTGCGAATCTGGAGGAATCAGGACATGGATCACAGAGGAGCTGAAGGGGCCTCAGATGGGGAACTGGAGGTGGTCCTCCCTTGGAAGATGCGAATGAATTGCCCATCCGGCCCAAGAACCACAGAGGAGCAGGATCTGAGCTAAAACCCTCCAGGACATGCAAGTTCTCAAAGCCACCCCAGCCTGGGTTATGCCTCTGTGCTGGAGGACACACACTGAGCTTTCTGGTGTCCAGGGGCTCTGACAACAGCCCTAGGCCTCCCTAGACTGTGCCCCACCCCTCCCAAGCCTGTAATTCCTGATCTTGATTCAGTGCCAACCCCCTACCACCGTCAGCTCAGCCTGGACACTCCCAGGTCCTGTTCCACACAGATGCTGGTGGGTCACGTGTTCCCCAGCTGAAGGCCTCCCCCATCCACCTCCACCATCTGCTGAGGCCCCATAATTGTTCCAAGGCTCTGTGCAGCCTCACTTAGAGGGAAGAGCTCATGCAGCCTTGTAATGTAAGCCAGGCCTGAGGCCGCTCGGGCAGGGGGTCCCCAGCTGGGTAATGAGCCTTCGCTGAGGTGGCCTAAGTCAGTCTATCTGAGCACCTCATGGAGGACAGAATCTTCTCTGTATCCCCATTTCTGTTTCCCAAATCCTTCCAAACACAGGGCCAGAGGGCTGGCTGCCTTGGACTGGCTTCCCACATGGGACAGTGTGGACACCCTACGTAGGGCCTAGGCATGGTGGAGAAGGATGGGCTGCTGGTTTGTCTTTGCTGGGATTGACTTTCTAAAGGAATGGGGCAGCTCCCACCCCCACCCCTCCTAAACCTGCTGAGTTGCCCTCATCTCTCTTTCCTGGAGCCTGGGCCCCACAGAGGGGTGGGGGCTTGGCCGGGGAGGCCAGAGCTGTGGGCCAGGGCTCCCTGTGCCGGGTTCAGGGAGCTGTCTTCTTTCCCTTTGAAGACTGATGCTCAGCCTCAAGCCCCATCCAATGTCACCTTGTAGCATCAGCCCCAAGCCCAGCCCCTTTTGCTACCACTCAGCAGGGTGGGGACCACCTCCCCCCAACCCCGTATTCTCTGGGCTTATCAACATCATTTTGACATGTTTGTTTTCTGGTGCAGACTGTGAAGACAGTGTTGTGGATTTCTGTGTATGCAGAACCCGGCACATAGTAGGGGCTTTAAGAACCATTTGAGGAGAGACATGAGCTAGGGAAAGAGGGAACAGACATGATGACAGGTAAGAGGCTTGACTTGTGTGAGAGTATTGTGTCTGCAAGGCTCCTCTGGGTCTTTGGGTGGCCTGCAGTGGTGTGTGCTGTTGCTGGGTTGTAGGGTGGGGCTGGCTAATTTGGGTAATAGGCTCAGCTGTGTTGTCCTGTCAAGACCCCACTGGCTCAGGAAGCTCAGGGTGAACCTGAGGTCAAGGATCACCCAGAGTTCACTATCAGAGCCGTCTGGCAACAGGACCTTTGAGCAGCGGGAGGAGTGTGAAAGACATTTGCTATGGCTTTTCTAGCATAGACTGGTACCCATCTCTCACCTCTCACACTCAGTGCTGGAGAAACTAAGCTGGACCCCATGTCCTTGGGGAAGAGTGATGACAGCTAGGAGACACCCAGCGGTCAGGCCTCTGCCCAGCAGCTTAGCCAGACATCCATTCTTAGTGAGGAACTTGGTGCATCGGGAGACTGGGTGTGAGGGGGTATCAGAAAGGCGTGGAGTGGTGGGAACTTCAGAAAAGCTTAGAAACAAGCTTCAGGCCAGAGACAGAGATGAGACAGTCTCGGCAAGGAGTGGGGGGAAGGCTTGCTGGACTTCCCTGTACAGTATGTATAGGTGTGGCTCACACAGCAGAGGGGGCTTAGGCTACTCTTAGATTCTCCTGACTGTGGGACTACAGGCCCAGCCCAACTTTCCTGCCCAGCTTCTTTTCCTGTATAGGTATCTCCTGGGACTGGAAGAAGAGTCACCATTGAAAATTGGATGGAAGGCTTTTCTGACCAACCATGAAAATGGGAAGTGGGGACCAGAATCTCTCATGGCCTCAGCAGACCCCTCAGATACCCAACATCTTCCCTTCAGACGTTTGTCCTGGCATAATGTCTTGTGACACTTTCTCTAAGTGCTGCCTAGAAACCTGTCACTGTCTGTTTCCTTCTGAGGCATCGCAGGAAGCCGACCGAGCAAGCCACGGGCAGGGCAGGGCTGTGTAGAGGCTCCTGCTTTGAGCAGCAGGAACCCAGCTTATGAAATTACAGGGAATTCAAAGCAGCCGGCATCACCCGCTGTCTGGTTTCATTACTGGAAATGGCCTCCTCTGAGGGAGGTTTGTTCTGATAACTTAGCAGATCAAGCCCCGACACCCTTCATTAGCACTTTGACATTGACAGAGAAGACGGATCCTAGAAGCACGTGATGGAAAGGAATTGGCTCAGGGGGAGAAAAGCCAGCACCTCACTATGCTAGGAAGAGTCGATAGGAGATGTTCTTGCAGGTGATTTTTACAGTCCTCTTGGATGGGGAGCCATGGTTAGCATGAAAGCAGCTGGGGGCGTTGGACCTCTCCCCGATTCCAGCCACTTCCCTGGTCTCTACCCACTGCAATTCAATGTACCCTCCAATCCTTGTTGGCTTATCCTTAAAAAGGCACCTCTGTCTTTCAAGTGTTCCTTTCCTCGTCACCCTAAGCATCTAAGGACACAGAAATTGTTCCTAACCTCCTGGCTACTTATAGCTGTCTTCCCAGGGCTTCCACAAGTACAACCCCTGACTTTCAAAAAGTATCCTAACCATTTTGTAAAAACCAGACTTTAGGCTGTACCTTGATAACAGTTCTGGCAGATGGATGGGGGAGGGGCGGCTTCGAAAGGCCCTGCCTACACCCAGCAAGCTGCTGCCCTTGCCTCCTATATTAAGGGAGCTGTGTGACACAGGGTCAGTTGCTTAGCTTCACTGTGCATCCATCCTTTGCTTACGTCTAAACTGGATGTCCAGCTTGCTGTGGGGATTAAACAGAGTGATCCACTAGGGAGTCAGGGTCATGTAAAGATTAACTGATATGACTGGTGGTTCTGAGGACCCCAGGCAAACTGCTTGTGTTCTTCCACCGGAAACCTTTCACTCTGTGTGGTGGAAGGATGTAGGACCACATGCCCATAGCGTGCCTAGCACCCAAGGGCCCACCAAGCAGGGGCCACCGTGGCCACCGGCGAGGGCAGCTCGGTGCTGGTGTAGTAGATTCCTGGGACACTGTAGCTGCACGGGTTTCTTGGACTCCTTCACAAGTGTGTAGAGACAGGAGCGAGGAATGTGATCCGTCCCAGCAGCCCGGGGGAGCCAGACCATATCTGGTATCTGGTATGTCTCTCTGGAATGATTTTGGGGGAATTCACCAAAGTTGGAACTTAAGACGTGGACTGCCGGTAACCCGTAATACAGGGATGTGGCGCTGCCCGTGTGCATACCCCAGAAGGGGACCTGGTGCCCGGGGTGGGAGTCAGCTTACACGGTACAGCGCCGGCTGCCTGGGCCCGCCCTTGAATGGCCGTGAACTTGTTTTTCCACGTCCTTTGCTCTCAAATGTACTATCGAGCTGGGCGACGCTAACACAGCGGCTCAGGTCCTTCCTCGTAACAAGCGATTGTGTGTTCTTTAGAGGTGGCTGAAGGGGAGGAGGGGGCCTGGCCCCGAGGAGGTGGAGAAAGGGAAACAAACCTGCCTCACAGTGAGCGTGCGTGTCCTGGGGCCAGCTCCCCCCAAAGCACATGCCATTTCTGTCCCTGGAAGGGGTTAAAGGCCTCCTGGAGTCAAAAACAAGCAGGTGTCCCACCGTGCCAGAGACCGCTGCCTAAACTGCTTCCAGCTTTTCCCCCCTTCTGCAATACGTCTGTGATCAGCCACGGGACAGAGGCGCCAGCAGCCTGCCTCTGACAGGCATCGGGTTAGCTCGCTCCCACACGGGTGGTGTGCCCAGGATATAAATCCAGGCTCGAGCCCCTGCTGTGTTCCTCTCCCTGCGCACCCGGGGTGGGGTGGGGGGAACAGAGTTTCCTTCCAAAGACCTTTCTTTTATCTGAAGCCTCACAGCCCAGCAGGCTGCACTTGGTGGAGCCAGTCACAGAAGCCGAAGCCAGCAAGCAGCCTCAGCAAGGAGACTTGCCGGGGTGAGGAGGGCAGGTGTTGCCAGCCCTGGAGAAGAAGGCCCCGGTGGGCCTCAGCCCTTGGTGTCATCACAGGGAAACCCTCTGGCCACTGCAGACGGCACCATGTGGGCCCCAGGGGATCATCGGTTCTGGTTCCATTGGGGGCTGCTGTTGCTGCTGCTCCTCGGGGCTCCCCTTCGAGGCCTAGCACTGCCACCCATCCGATACTCCCATGCGGGCATCTGCCCCAACGACATGAACCCCAACCTCTGGGTGGATGCCCAGAGCACCTGCAAGCGAGAGTGTGAAACAGACCAGGTGAGTGGGATTCCCGAAGCCTAAGACGGAACACGTGAGAGGGTCGGTGACGGACCTCGTGAGAGGGTCGGTGATGGTGTGGGAGCTATGGTGCGGGGACGACTCAGGAGTGCCTCCAGGAACGTAAAGGGACACAGACGCTGCCAACCTAGAGACAAACAGGGCTTGAGCCGGCCTGTTACTGTTGAGGGTGCAGTGTCCAAATCCATGTCCGAGCACTCCTCTGTGATTGTTGAGGGCTGCTGTGGGCCAGCATCGGACGAGGCACGTAGAGTGGGATAACACGACAGACAGTGTAGTAGATGTTCGGCTCCCTACTCACAGGTGGATGCTCACACAGAGTGAAGCTAGAGCCAGGGAGGGACAGGTTGGCTTGGAACCATGTCTGTTTGACACATTGCGGCAATTAGTTTCACCAAGCTTCTAGACCCTTCCTCAGGTTTGAACTCAGCCATATGGTAGTGAGGCTTCTGGGCAGACTGAGCAGGAGCCAATCTGTACAAACACTCTAAATGTCCTGGGAGGGAAATGAACTGAGTTCCCACCTCTCTGGCTCTTCAGTGTTCCCACATGCTCCTCCCTCGTGGATACTGCTGTAGTCGAGAGCCACCTCCAGACAGTTCTTCCCTGGCTTGTCCACTCCTGCCCATTGGTTTATCATAGTTCTCATGCCTGGACTAGGTGTAGCCACTACCTGGCGGGCCATCTCTGAGGGTAGCCCAGAGTCTCCCAGGGCTTTGGGTCTGGGTTAGGCATCACTAATGAACATGGGAGACTCCGGTGCTTCTAGAAGTAGCTGGTCACATTGAGAAAGCATGCGGCTTCCCATGGAGAGAGTGGCTGCTGCCTCACATTCTCTGGGGACCATTCTCAAGCCTCTCAAGACAGATGCTCCAGTGATACAAAGAGGTAGGATGCTGCAGTGGTACACAGTGTTAGGATGCTGCAGTGGTACACAGTGGTAGAGTGCTGCAGTGGTACAC